ACAACACTTCGCATGCTTTCACCATTAGCGTGTGGAGAGTCACAGGAGAAGGAAGTACGCTAGTTTCGATCTTGATTTTCAAATAGATTAAAAAAAATAGTGCGTGGAGTCCCTCCCCTCGGGAAGAAGTTAAACTTCGCAACCTGCGACGTTAATTGTAGAAGAATCAGCAGTCGTAGAAGGATCACTAGTTCTATTCAACGACTCTTTTTCCTGCTCCGCTCGCCTCCGTGCTCTGTAATCACGGTAATATTCTGCAGTTTTCTCTCTTGAACCAGTGGAAGTACTTGTGGTTGCCTCATCGTCTCGCCATGGAAAATGTATTTGTATTAATGAGAATGCGTCATAATGTAATTTCAAAAGAGAAAACCTAACAATCAATTGATATTCACAAGAGACGTACCTTGACATAACCTTAAATCTGTCGCATTGTTTTCACTCATTTTTTACAATTGTTATCCACTAAATTTGAAAATAAAAAATACTACCTTATTAAATTATATGTGTATCAAAACAAACTAAAAAAATATTTATAGAAAAACAATACTTTTATTATCTTTGTGCTAGTGAGAACCAAAACAATATGGAAATGAATGAGGGAAAACTGGATCCTACCACGTGATTTCCCGGCCAATAAAAATGTAGCGTTAAACGTTTAACGCAATCTTGTTGGAAGAAGTATAACTTCAAAAACTTTTAAGTTAGGAAACTATATGGAACTGAAAACTACATTGAGCATAGTTCAGAATGAAAGCGTCATGAAAATTTTAAAACATATTTAAGACAATTAAACATGAAAAATATTAATTAAGGGTTTAGCCAAAGCATGATTTTTGTTATCTAGATATCAGTGTATGAAAATTTTACAATCTCAAATTTTAATTTGAGACTGAACCCATCTCTAAAACATAATTTTCAGAAAGAGTTATACTGATGAATAATTGTTTTGAAATTTAAAAAATTGGATTTTTCAAAAAAAAAAAAAAACTTTTTCAGTTATAAGCCTTTAATAGAAATTAAAAATAGATGTTTTATAAAGATTTTATTTTGAACACTGTTTTTTAATATTTTTTATCTGTTTTTTTTTCTTCTTCTCTCTATTTTTCTTCATTATTTTTTTCTTCATCTATTTTCTATCTTACTAGAAGTAATAATAATCAATTGCGACTAATTAAATATTTTCTAACAATCAATATTCAAATCAAAATCTGACGTTCAAGTTCAAAAAGCTTAAATTGTATGATTGCGTCTATATAAGAAAAAACACTTTACTTTTGAACTTTATCCTAATGTTAAAAATTTCATTGCAACTTGATTCCAATGACCATAGCAATGACTTTAAAATAACCTTTTTCATTCTATTTATTAACTTCATTTTTACTTTTTTAAATAACTGAAATGTATAATTTCATATATATATTATGTAAAAATATTTAAATCGAAGCAGATTTTCAGCTGTCGATCCGCAAACTTTGTTTAGTTGTTGTATATTTATTACTTTGTTGTTAGAAAAAAAAATGCATTTAATTTTCATAATTAAATAATTTTTTTTTTTTTTTAAAAGTATTAATTTGAGAAAATATCAAAAATTGTATACGCAATAGGAGCAAAATTCTTCTAATTTCTAGTGCTTTTAATTGATACACATTTGAAAAGAATAAATAAAATATATTTTATTAACATTACCATATTGTAAACTAAAAATTTTGTTGCTGTTCATAATCGAAATTATAAAAATCTATTGCACCGTAAATCAAACCATGCACCTTTTGGTACTAGGAAATTAGAGCTTTTTGAGCCACACTCCTAGTCTACCTGGCTTGGAATGGTAGCATATATAATTAGTATATAATATCTGACAAAGTTTCAAAATTATAGGGTATTGTTAAGGTGAGATATGGGGTATTATATATGGATACATAAGAAAAAAATTTTCCCAATTTCTAATGCTGCTATTTTCAAAATAAAAAAATAAAATTAGGGAATATTTATTTACATCACACCATATTGTAAGAAAAATTTTTAAAAAAATATTATGTAATCGAATTTATAAAAATGGACAGTGACGGGGATAATTGGAGATCGAAATGAGCGACAGGTGACATAGAGCTGAATTCTCTACCTATGGCAACACTTCGCATGCTTTCACCATTAGAGTGTGGATAGTCATAGGAGAGGGAAGTACATTAGTTTCTGTCTTGATTTTCAAATAGATTAAAAGCTTTTAAGTTAGGAAATTATATGGAACTGAAAACTACATTGAACATATTAAAAGAAAGCGTTGTGGAAATTTTGAAAAATATTTATGAAAATGTAATACAAAAAATATTAAGAAAAAGGAAAATATCGTAGTGCATTCCTATACAACTGAAAAGAGGGTCAAGACATGGAATCGGTCTTCTCTCCAGATGGCGCATTCAAGCGCTACAATCTTTTATACCTTCTTAGGTCATCAAACCACACATCTTCGGGTGCTTCGAACCGCAAATAATAAATGTGCAAATTTGTTTTGAATCCTAATTTTTCTTTTTTATTTATATAAATTGAGATTATAATAATACACATTCTAAAACTAATTTAAGTTCAAAATTATAAATAATGCCATGGTTTATTTGTATTTTTTTTTTTTTCAGTTTTCATCGAGATCAGTTAACAAAAATAGTCTTGAATATTTTCTTTTCTTCTGACAATTAATGCGTTTTTTCATTTAGTGCATTATCATCAGTTCCATTATAAACAGTGTGTCGTAAATACATAGTGTGTCAAGAAAAAGGTACAACGCTTGACGGAGATCTCCCTCATTTTCATCATCTGATTTTATCAGATCTAGTAATTTCTTCTTGCCCATAAGAAGCTTCTTGATGCAATTGATTTACCAAAGAGTTTGTGTGACTCAGGAGACAATTTTTAGTGCGAAGTACAATAAAACTAAACTCCTGTTTGTGAAAACTGCAACACCATGAAGGAATCGTCATAATTGAATGAAATTTACTACACGGTTGAGTGGTAGTGGTACAAATAAATGAGTAAACTTTCAAAGCAAACAATAATAACAAGAGATCGAAATCAGTATTTTGTGTAGCCACCACGCACCGCAATANAATTGAATGAAATTTACTACACGGTTGAGTGGTAGTGGTACAAATAAATGATTAAACTTTCAAAGCAAACAACAATAACAAGAGATTGAAATCAGTATTTTGTGTAGCCACCACGCACCGCAATAATTGCTGCTACACGACGTGGTATGGAGTCAAGTAAATTTTGAATGTCTGTCTGAGGAAGAACATTCCATATAGTTTGTATGCGTACCCGAAGTTCGTCTGTAGAAGCAACAGGACGAGGATCACGAGCGAGGCACCAACCAACGAAATGACACACATGTTAAATCGATGACGTATCTGGGGAATACGCAGGCCAAGGAAGAAGCTGTACCTGCCGCAATGCAAGGAAGGATTAAACAGTCCTAGCAATATGAGGGTGGGCATTGTCCTGTTGAAATACAGTGCCTGGCAAGGCTTGAAGGATGCGAACAGCTTGGGGCTGTAAAACTTCACTGATGTACCGGTTGTTGTTCAGATTACCCACAATTCGTAGCAATTGAGATCGTCCATGATATGCTATGGCACCCCAGACCATAACTCCGGGTGTTTGTCCACTGTGGCGTTCGATAATGCACTCCGGAAGGTGGCGTTCACAGGCATAGCGTCTGACACGAATGCAGCCATTATGGTACCACAAATTAAAGCAGGATTCGTCAGAAAACACTCTATGCTGCCAATCAGCACGTCAGTCCTTATGCTGATTGGCCCGTTGTAGCTGCAGCATGAGGGTGATCCTGTATAAAGGAGTCCTTGCGTGCAGTCCACGCTGCAGTTGACGTCTACGAATTGATGAAGCACACAATGAAACACCTGTAGCTATGAACCACTGTGCTGCCAGTTGTCTAGAGGGAGCCGTACGGTTCGTCAGCGCCATACGGACCAGGTGTCTATCATCGCGAGCTGACGTGACATTTCAGGGTCCACTCCCGGATTTCCGAGTTGTCTGACGCTCGTCTGTCTACTGCTTCCAAACACGCATCACTGTGCTGCTGTTACACTGCACAGGAGCAGCTAATGCACGATGAGACAATCCAGCTTCACAAAGGCCGATGATTCTCCCCCTTTCAAACTCCATAAGTTGTTGAAATCTCGCTCTCTTTCGTCGAAGAGGCATAAGTAACGCCTAAGTCAACGTTTACCACTAGCAAATAACCACCGATAACCATACACGCCTCGCTACAGCCGTCTATTTATTCGGATCCATCCGCCGTTCAGAGGGCGCTGCTCAGCATACGCATGCGCTACGGGTCTGAAATGCTAATCATTTACATATTATGCTCTACTTTGCATTTCCTGAAAATTTCAGCTCACTCGCGTAAGTCCTTCATGGCGTGTTTCTCTTAAGCGAAATTTCC